ATGTTTTTTATTCTCTCTTTTCCTCGATTCAATTCGATTTTCTTTCTTTCTTTCTTTCTTTCTTTCTTTCTTTCTTTCTTGCCGTCATGTTTTTTATTCTCTCTTTTCCTCGATTCAATTCGATTTTCTTTCTTTCTTTCTTTCTTTCTTTCTTTCTTTCTTTCTTTCTTTCTTTCTTGCCGTCATGTTTTTTATTCTCTCTTTTCCTCGATTCAATTCGATTTTCTTTCTTTCTTTCTTTCTTTCTTTCTTTCTTGCCGTAATGTTTTTGATTCTCTGTTTTCGCTTTTTCTTTCAATTTAGATTTTTTTTTTTTTTTTCTTTTCTGTTCTTTTTTGCCGTCACTTTTTTTTTTTCCTTTCTTTCTGTCTTGCTTTCTTTCCGTAATATGTTTACTTCTTTCTTTTTCTTCTTTTTAATTCGAGTTCCATAATTTTTTTTTCTCTGTTTTCTTTTTTTCTTTCTTTCTTTAGTTTTTTCTTTTTTCTTTTTGCTTAAATCTTTTCATTTCTCGAGTTCCCTTTTCTTTGATTTTTTTTTTTGTTTTTTTTCTGTCTATTAAATTCTTTTCGTTTATTTTTTCTTTTCGCAATATTTTTATTTTATTCTTCTAGTAAATAGAGTTCTTTCTTTCTTTCTTTCTTTCTTTCTTTCTTTCTTTCTTTCTTTCTTTCTTTGTGCCCTACTGTTTTTGTTTGTTTCTTTTTTTTCATTCTCCCCATTTCTTTCTTTCTTTTATTTCCCCTCTTTCATTCTTTTTTTTAATCTCTCCGTATCCGTATATCACAAACCTCACTTTCACAGTGATTAGCCAATGTTTCTCTCTGTATCCAACTTTTTAGATAGATATGTTGTGTTTCATTTTTTTTTTTTGGTCCATTCTTTGAATATGCATTAGCAATTCCAAGTCATTAAAGTAAGATGCAAGAATTGAGTATTCTTCGTTTATTCACTTAAGCCTTCGGTCCATTGTAATAATGATCGAATATAATAACAGAGAATAAATAGATTTTGAATGTATTTCTTTCAATAGACGGTTTTTCAGTTTGTTTTTTTAAACATTTTTCTGGCTTTATTCTCAATTGCTTTTTCTTGTTCCTCTTCCCACTTTTCTTATTTTCTATGGTTTTATTAATGATTTTATAGATAACCAACTACGTTTGTTAATTCCATGAGTTATTATAACTTATAATAATTCGATAGACGTAAAATGATTAGTAACAAATGCACTGAGTAATTTCAATGGCTGGCCAGTTTCCTCTCTTACAACAAATGAATAGTTAAACATTAATTTGCTTAAAGAATCAAGAACAATAAAAGAGTCTGTTTTCGTTTGCAGCAGCAGTTTATATATATATATATATATATATATATATATATATATATATATACGTTTCATTAAATAATATAGACAAGTGTTTATTTATTTTATGTAAATTCTTTTCATAACGTGTGATAAGTTTCATAACATTATGGTTGAACGAAGAAAGAAATTCACAATATTGATCCAAATTTTTTTAATACAATCTAAGCTTTCGGCTTACATAAGCCATTATCAAAGATGTCAATTACAACATATTAAGCAATATACGGACAAGACAGTGATGATAGTCTGTGATTGTTTACATAGATGATTTCTAAGCAACGATAAACACGTGCATATAAGACGCTAGAAGCGAATGTGTATGAAAAGATGCTGCCTAAATACGCACAATATATAATATATATATATATATATATATATATATATATATATATATATATATATATCATAATTATGTAATTCCTGGAGTCTAGAAGAAATCTCAATAGAAAGCACTCAACGGCCGTTTCGTCCTATATTTAGGAGTCATCAGCAGTGCTCATCCACTACTGAGAATCGAACCCCGACCGTTTTGCGTCGTATCGTAACGGTCCGAGTTCGATTCTTGGTAGGGGATGCGCACTGCTGATGAGTCCCCAATATAGGACGAAACGGCCGTCCAGTGCTTTCTGTTGAGGTTTTTATAGACTCCAGGAATTACGTAATATGATTATTTCAAATCCTCCTAATGATTTCCATCACACACACACACACACACACACACACACACACACACACACACACACACACACACACACATATATATATATATATATACTAGCAGTAGCGCCCGGCGTTGCCGGGGATGTAACAATAAGAGACAGATCAAGTATTGACCATCATAAAGACTGAAAAATAAAATTTACAAAGATTATTGTTTAAGGTTGACGGAAACGCATGTCTTAATTAGTTTTTTTTTTTTTTTTTTTTTACGAATTGGTCAAACTCAAACAAAAACATTGTTTTCAATCGTTATGAGTCTACCGATTGAATAGAATTTTATTATAAACAATTGTCTTGTAAATGGAATTTTTAAAGCATTCTGAATGTGAAAATAAAGAAAAAAAGTGTGCAAGACAATAAGAAACACTACCTGCCAAAAAAAAGTGAAGTTTTGTTGAAATCGGTAGAAATATAGGAAATCCGATCCCATATATAAACGAACACACACACACACACACACACACATACACACACACACACAACCTGGGTTTTATAATAAGTATAACTCGATATGAGTTGTCCCCCTTTCATTAATGCCTCTTAATCATGTTTTCAAATTGATTTCATGCAAAAACAATTGTGTTTTTCCAATTTTTGGCGCTGTCAGAACGACCGCCAGGTAATTTTACGTAGTCCTGTGAAGTTTTGTTGAAATCGGTTGAAAAATTTAGGAAATACGATCCAATATATAAACGTACAGACACACACACACACACACACAATCTGCGTTTTATAATAAGTAAGATATATATACATATATGCTTGTTTCATTAAAAACGACAGAGAAGACACTACGATTAAGCATTTTATTTAATTTTTCTTGTGTTCGAACAAATGTTTTCTTTTTTGGACACAGGGTGTGTAACAAACAAGAACTACGAACACGGCCACAATGTGCTCTGTTCGGAAAATAAAACATGTTTATAACACTAAAAACGTACACACAACGCACACACTCAATTAAAATGAAAAAGCAAAACCATCCTTGATAATGGTTAAAAGTATACTTCGTGTATGACATATAATAAAAAAAATAAAACATTTTTTCCGGTGAATTTAAATTTGGCGTAGGTCACATTCGATTGGTTCATCAAAGCACACAAGCCTATTTTTTTTAAAAGTATTCTGCTTTTGAAATTAAATTAATCGTTCACGCGCCAGTAGTTTATCATCGCCTGAGAAGACACATTTATAGTGGCGAAACATAATTGCCATTATGTAGCGATTTTTAACAGGTTTTACTGTCTTAAAGTAAATAATATTTTGCTCTCTTTTAAGTTAAATGTTACACAGAATAGAATGATGAATTACTTATCGGCATTTTATCTTTTGATGTTTATTAAAAGATTACATTAAAGGTACATTAAAATATAAAATGCCGATAAGTAATTCATCATTTCTCTTAGACCAACCTTAATTGCTTTATGACCCTTCGCGCAGAACTCTTCATTGCCAATTCAAAAAAGACATTCGGATTACTAACACAAAAACAGAGAATGTTTCCTATCGAGAATATTTAACATTGAAAAAAATAAGAAAAGAATTAATTATTTTTAATAATATGTGGAAATGTGCTCTTTTACCGGAAGACGGTCACAAGACCAGAAACACGTGTAGTAAAATTATGTAAAATAAAGCATAATATTGTTTTTCTAAAAAAAACATAATACAACAAAAAAAAACGTTTGCGGCACCTCTCTTCTCTTCTTTTAATATATATATACATATATATATATATATATATATATATATATATATATATATATATATATATATATATATATAGGGATATTCAAAATAAAGTGCAGATTTTGAGAATTTTAAAAAAACAATGCTAAGAGACTTAAACAAATTACTGGTAGGAAAATTTGATGGTAGACATTTTCTTTATTAAGGTTTTTCGAGTGCACAAGCCCGTAAACAAAATAAACATCGTTTAAATAAAACGTGGCCTCTACTCAAATATAGGTATCCACTAAAATAGCCTTCGATGTCATAAAGATATGTCGGATTAAAAAGTAAAATCTATATATATATATATATATATATATATATATTTGAAAGTGGATTCTGAGGACAACACCCAGCGATGACAGTCTGCTTCCAGCTTAAGCGCAATCATCAGGCCTGACAATTGCCTTTGATTCTGAAAGTGTCTGTCACCGCTGAGTGTTGACCTCAATGTCCACTTTTATATTTACATATCTCTATCCCTGATATTTAGCACTTTAACCCATAAATTAAATCTATTTTTTTATTATCAGTCAACTTCCAGAGGAGATAATCCGTTTCATATTAAGCGCAATATCGACCATATCTCTCACACCATCCCTCACCACTCTCTATGTCAACTTATATAAGCTTAATACTGCCCATCAAAAGTATAAAATTTAAATTCATAAGTCTGAAGATCCAGAGAAAAATAAAATTCTCTGGTGAAATAAATTATTACAAATGGAGCCTTAAAGTTATCTGTTTTTCATTAAATTATATATATATATATATATATATATATATATAAATTATATATAATATATATATATATATATATATATATATATATATATATATATATATATTCATTAAGTTATATATATATATATTAATATATATATAAATATAGATAACTAGACTCGTTTTTGAAAAACCCTCGAATTTTTGATTTGCTAATCAAATCAATCTCGAGGGAAAAAAAGGTTTAAAAAAGAAAGAGCTACAAACATGGACTTCTGCCGACAAAAAAAAATGGCACAGATGCAGGTCTGAAACCCAAAGAAAAAACCCGATACAAGTAACAACTAACTAACAAAAGAGCTCAATACAACCGTAGCAGACCTAGATACACCTAGTGAGCCAGACAAACCTACCAGGTTTCACCTAAACGGATCGTCAGGGGAAAGCTTGGCCAAACTTT